TGGAGACAACCCAAGTGTCCTTCAGCAGATGAATGTATAACAAAATGTGTTTGCTGACGGTTACCCTGGATGGTGCCATTGTACTACTAGCCAAAAGGTGGCATTTTATTTTATTTTTTTTCAGTTTCAAAAAAATGTAATAGTTTAACTTCAAAAACATTTCAGCATTCTAAACACACACACACACACACACACACACACCCCAGAACTATACACAAAACAAACCAGACAACCGGAAGCTAAATGGACGGCCACCGCAGTGTCAACAGGTGAGCTTCACAGTGCATGCCCTGAGCTCCGGCCCCTTCTAAGGGCGCCGCCCCCGGCCTCGATGGCAGTGTGTCCTGGCTGCTTCCTTCTTTCCTTAGTTTTGTTCTTTACAAACCACAGATATGCACAGTGCAGAACGCGGGAGTCCAGCCCATCACCATTCAGTGAACGCCCCCTCACTAAGGAGACCAGCCAGCAAACACGTGGCCACAACTGCTCAAAGGCCTTGTCAGCTCCACAGCGAGGTGCCTTTTCTTTTACAAATGCGTGGAAATATGTACAATTCTGATACAGTTCCGAGGTGCTCCGGACAACCTGGCCGCGTCAAGTAGACCCTGGACGGGTTCTAGAGCACTTTAAGAGACGACACTATGATCATGACCCAACTGTGGAATTAAACCTACTGAGGGCAAGGAGACGGCAATCCCGGCGCGCCCTACTCTAAGGTATTCACATGAAGACAAAGAAACCGTTCTTTATTCATCTTCCTCCTCCTCCTCATCTTCTTCATCTTCCTCTTCCACCTTTTCCCGGGTAACTTTGGCAGCAGGACCCTGCGCACCATCAAACTTGGCCTTAGACTTTTCACACTTCTCCTCCAGCTTCGCCGCCTTGTGGCATAACTCAAGTTATTCCACATCTCACCCAGCTGTTTGGCCATGTCACCCATGGAGATGCCAGGGTTTGTCGATTTGATCTGGGCGGCATTCAGAACAGAAGAGGAGGAATCCTGACAGCGGTCGTTTGGAAGCGTCAGGGTCCTTCTTCTTGCCGCCCTTAGCTGGCCCATAATCCTTCATTTCCCGGTCACAGCGCACTTTGTCCGCCTTTGCCATCTCATCAAATTTGGATTTCTCCTTCCCAGACATGGTCTTCTACCATTCTGAACACTTCTTGGAAAATTGGGCAAAATGGACAGGGACTTCTGGGTTTTTCTTCTTATGTTCCTCTCTGCACGTCTGCACAAAAGAAGGCGTCAGCAGACAGCTGGCCCTGTGGTTTCTTGGGGTAACCTTTCGCCATCCTGACGGTATTGTTTTGGCTCTGGGCAGCGCAGGGCCGAAAGGTGGCATCTTAAAGCCAACCAGAGGTGCTTCAAAAGATAGGTCTGGTGTAATCAGAAATAATTAAACAGCAAAGAATAACAACAGTTATTAACATACCAAGAAGACTAAATTCACTTATGAGGAAGTCCCAAAGTACTGACTCAGACTGGCATTCCTCCAAGGGCATAAAACAGAAAAAAGAAACATCAAAAGGCTATGAAAAAGGTTCCAGTCACTTAAAGACTTAAAGCTTGCCATTCTTTTAAAGATTCTGGGGTCCTTATGGCAGAATGGGATAAGCATTTGGCTGCTACAAGGTTGGCAGTTCAAAGCCACCATCTGCTCCTCTGGAGAAAGATGAGGCTATTTGTTCCCATAAAGATTTTCAGTCTCAAAAACCCTAGGGATCTGTTCTACAATGTCCTATGATGACTCTGTGGGTCAGAATGACTTAATGGCAAAGGGTTTGGTTTTGGATAAGAGCTATATTTTTAACAATGAGAGTTAGTCAACATAAAGTCAAATCAGTACGGTAAATATTTTATGAGCTTTCTGAAAACTATCTGGGTGTCCAGCAATTCATTTTATACATATTTGAGTTATAAATGATTCATTTCTTACTAGTTTAAATTATCTTTAAATTTAAAAGATAACATTCTCCTATATAACACAAACATATCAAACTCAAATAACTTGCTGGTATCTTAAAAACAACAAGATTAATATGGACCTGAAGTCAAATTTTTACTACATAGTTCATCTGTTAGTGTGACTCACCATGAGTAAGCTTTCAAACTAACTTCCTCTGAAATATGAGTCTTTTCTAGGTAAAGTTATAGGAATATGAGTCATTTCTAGATAAATTTCCTTTGGAGAATTAGGTTTCTTCTAAGTAAAACTTTACATGTGTCCATAATAATTATTACCTTAAAAGATACAACCAAAAAAGATCTCATGTTTGATTTTCCTCTTGTGTTTCCTTGTGTAACTAATGTGTGAGAGGCTCTTGAGGACTCCAATTCCTCTTTCTTTAGTAGGAAAGGTTTCAATGCGTGGTTTAAACATTCTGTATTGCAAAACTTTAGTCAGCTGATTTGACAAGAACAGACTCCTAGGGAAATTGAGTTACAAAAAAAAAGGAAATTGAGTTACAAAAGTTTCTTAACTTAATTGGCCTTCCATCCTCCAATTTACCTCTTCTATACTCTGTCCTCAATAGTGCTACCTTAATCATAAACTGGGTTATATCATATGCCTACTTAAAAATTTTCACTGTCCAATTCTGACCATTTAGCTTGAAAAATCCTAATAAATACTGGGTTCAAAATAATTTCCTCTATAAAACCTTCCCCAACACCCTTCAGATATACTTAGCACATATGGTCGCTCAGCACAAGTATCGAGCCTGCTGTTTTCAGTAGTTCAACGACTGTCATATACATTTCTAGAACACACACATACTTAAAGCGAGGCACTGGTCATAATTTGGTGAAGCCACAGTTCAAGACATCAGGATGCCACATTCACATATATGTAGATATGCTATAATGAACCTGAGGGAGCCCTGGTGGCATCGTGGTTAAGCGAGTGGCTGCTAATTGAAAGGCTGGTGATTTAAACCCACTAGCATACAAAGGTAAGGCAGTAAATATAGCGATCAAATCATATCAAGCTCTATAATAACATAAAACTATCAAAATGTAATGCTAGTTCCCCACATTTCTGAAGGCTTTCTCTCTCTCTCTCTTTCTCCCTCCCCTGAAGAATTCTGCTGCCTTTGGCTTACACCTTGTCAAAACAGCAGCTCAGGCATCCTTAAGGGGCTCAAATTGTGTTCCTTCTAAGTGTTCTTTGAGTTTGAATTGAGGGGGGTAAGGTTTTGCAAAAAAAGTCTCTTTGGTCAATCCTTGCTCACCTCGAAAAAATTTATATGTGCATTGTCGTGATGGGGAAGAAAAAAATTACTCCTGGCCTTTCCCCCCACCAATTAAGTCCTTAAAACTTCTTCATAATAAGCCCCAATGATCAAACTGTGTCCTTTGAGAAAAATCTGTCAAGATGACCCGTTGGGATTACAAGGAAGTTTCTGTTACCAGAATCTTCTGAGCGACCTCTGTCTTGAGCTGAAATGGCCCAGTAGATGCCCTCAGAAGATAGGACTTAAAGGGGGGGAGGTGGGGGGGGGTTCCCTAATAAGGCTAAAACGATTGCATTACTGAGAGAACTTGTCTGCAGTGGTCTCCTGA